CACAGCTGCATCACCTGCGTCTGAGCTACTGGCTTCGGAGCTCCCACTGGCCTCCTGGAGCATGTCCAGATCCCATGGAATAAACTCTAGGAATTCTGAAAAGGTTTTGACCTTTCCGTAACGCTTACAGAGACAACAGCGAGCTCACCTTTTTCCTGGACTGTCTGCGAAATCTCTTCTATGTAATTGTTGGCTACACACTTGTCATTACCGTGTTCAAGGGAATCGTTCGCTTTGTTGCAAACGTTGTGAAAGTGGCTGTTGTGGTAAATATCTAATTGACAGATGAGCGATTACTTTGTAGGTCTCTGGCTCCCCGGGACATCTTACTCTTACCGTTCCTGCCGTAGCTATCCTCCATGTGACTTGCTATTACACCCCTATCATCTGCGTTGCTATCACATGAGATCAGTCTTCATAAGTTCATAATTTGCTGACCTCCACTATCGCATACGCCTTGGATGGGTTGATGGTTGTCCGCATCTTGCAAGAATGTTCGGTCCTGTGTACGCGTACATTCCTGGAGAAACTGAGTCCTTATCATCGCGGTCTGTACAGAGTCCGATGGTAGCGATGCAATGGATTGAAGCTCTGGTGCAGTGAAAGGATGAGAGTTTCGTGCTTCAACTTTTCGGGCCACATTTTCCAACGCAGGCTCGTCGACGACAGTTGTAGGAAGGTCTTCTGGTAGAACAGGGATCAGGGATGAGTGGTGCATCTACGACGACCATGGAGTGACTCACTGATTACTGGACGCCCATATTCACGGCACCACTTCAGGTCTGGGTGTCCTTCGTGAAGCAGTATGCTTCCTGTCACGATACTTGTTGCTGACGACCGAGCAGTCAGCGGTCCATGGCATAAACGGCAGCAAGGCAAGTACGACATCTCACTTGGTTCATTTGCGTCTAGCAGAGCCTTGATGCCGTGACGTTGGGTATCCAGTGTGGCCCCATCATGATAAGAAGATTCTTGCGCTTCACAATTATACAACATATGTACTAAATGATCTGGATTGTGAGACAATCATGATACACTCACTGTGCTCTGATGCACAGCCACTGTGAATGTTGGCATTCCCGCCGTCACCAAGGGGAGAAAACATGAATGGTTGAGTAGCGGGTAGTACAGAGTTAATCTCTGCGTATGAGGATTGAATGGGTAGCTGGCTATCGATGATTGTATCTGAAAGCGGGTTCAATGTCATCAAAGGGTTCCTTTCAAGTGCGAATAGCATATCTCACCTAGAGATGCACTTGACGTGGCTGGGTATCGAGCGGGATCGACTTGAACAAATTTACGTTCATGTGAAAGGATGTGGGCAGGGATGTTCGAAGATGCAGCCTGGGATGGACTGAACGCGTAGTCACTCTCCGACCGGAGACCTGGTTCATATGGGAGCGCTCCCGGATCGTTGGGCGGCGAGCCAGGTTCTACGTCAGGATGAAATTCGTTAATACGTGCCATAGACCCGCTGTCCAGTCTTCTCCGCTTGTAGCCAGTTGACGTGGAGTTTGGAGGTCGGGCGCGCTTACTGGGAATGCGAGTTGTTTTCGAATGTGTGTAGTCCATTGAGCAAAATATTCTGCTTTCGTGCAGAGATGTATGCGCATGCGAGCGACGCAGAGCACCGGTCGGCACTCCTAAATTCTAATTAAGGCTCTTAATTGTCAACTATAGGAGGGAAACAATAGGCTGACGAACATGGAGAACAATAAGTCAAGGATTTATTGAGAGATCGTCGCTTTTACAAATGGCAACATCCGACTGAAATGCGCGATGAGCAATGCAAGGTTGAATTTCTTCATGGGCACGGTGAAGAGCCGCTTATAGAAGCGCGAGAAAGTGAAATGTGAAGGCCACACTAGCTGAATTGTCGTGTGTACAGAGGCCCTGCCCTGATTGTCCTCGTCCTCGTTTGCACCAATATCAGGGAACTGCACCTTGCCAAGCTCAAAAGTGCGAGCGCTGGACCCGCTGCTCGCATTGTCGCCACACCTCACGGACAAAGCGAAGCTTGATCGGGTAGTGCCACACATAGTCGATCTGCTACACGACGATGCCGCCATCGTCCGCGCATCTGCGCTGCGCACCCTCATGCAGCTTGTGAGTGAACGATCCGCAAAGATGGGGCTCAGAGACACTGATGCCGCTGTCGTTAGCGTCACAGTGATCACGCCCTCAGATGCAGCGATTTTCCGGAGTACGTCATACCGGCTATTTCGCACCTGGTCCGCGATCCAGAAGCCTCGGTGCGGTGCATGTGTGCGCAGTGTATCGCGTCGCTCGCGGATACTGCTGTGCGATATCTGGACATGGGCCAAGCGCTGAAAGCGCACGGCTCATAGAAGTTGTCTCCCCATAGCAGGCATAGCAGGAGTACGATGAGGCTCACTTCGAGGTTCGTAGACCGTCATTGCCGAGTGCTTCGAGATTAATTTGGGAATCAGGGGTCCTATGATGCTAGCATGCAAGAACCTCACAATAGCATCCAAGAGCATCTCTCCACACTGCTTATCGACCCTTCCAGCGTCTTCCGACATGCAGTCCTGTACATCATCTCCTCGCTCTGCATGTTCCTCGGGCGGCAGAAAACGAACGACGTCCTGCTCAGCCACATGATCACGTGTATGAACGACTCGGACTGGTTGCTTCGCTATGCGTTCTTCGACTGCATCGTCGATGTCACTGCCTGCGAGGGTGGAAGGAGCTTGGAGGAGTATATCTTCCCTTTGATGATACAGTCTTTGTTTGGTAAGTCTTCGGACCCGAGTCCGAGTGAAGAGATATTAATATAATCTGGATGGTAGCAGATGCGGAGGGCACTGTGGCCGCGAGTGCTTGCTTCGCTGGCAAGCCTCTGCGAGTTGAGGTTGTTTCAGAAGAGAAGATGCAGATATGGGAGCTCATGAGTGCAACTCTCGGCTTCCTGTATTATCCCGACGCGTGGATACGTCAAGTTTCGTCCTGTGGTCTCATTCGCGAGTGCATCTCATCTAACGCTGATGCGCGCAGGTGCCGCTGCCTTCATAGCGCCAGTTGCGAAGCAGTTACCGCCAAGTGCCCTCTGGTGTGTCCTCTACACGTGAGCACTTTCTTCGTTCGGATGTGCGGGAAGTGAGTGAGCGTAGCCTCTTGATTGCGTTGAAGCCTCTGGTACGTCCTTTCATTAACTCTCAGATGACGACGAATCTTATGGGCGCTATGCTCAGCTGTCTAGACAAGTCTTCGACGCAACAGTGCAGGGGGCGATGATGTCCGAGAAGGCAAACTTCTGGAGGATGACGTATCGGAAAAAACCTGATTCTCCATGAGACAGCCTTGCAGTGACCAGCAAAAGCGGCCAGTTCAAGAGCAATGACAGAAGAGTTGTGTCGTTCCGGAGCCTTACGGCTTGCATCTTCTGATCAATAGTCATTTTCTCAGAGACGAGGCTTAGCTTGCGAAGTTGCAACGTCTTGGCGTGACCTCGAGTGAGGAGAGCAAATTATTGGCAATGCGAGACTATATTCACACCGCTGGCACGAAATACATCAAGGAAAAAATCTACCGTCTGGCATTGTTAACACTTTCCAAACCATTTGACAATTTAATTTAGTTTTATTATGCTTGTCAGCACAGATGTGGAATCTGAGAACCTGAAAACTGCCAGCGGGATCGAGCTGCAGAAGCTAGGAGTAGTTCCACAAACTGTCTTATTGGAAGGCAGGCGGTCGATCTCAGCTCGCAGATCGCAGCCCGACTTGTCACTGGGATTAGCATGGATCACAGCACCGCCGGCGCCTTTTCGAAGACCTACGCCGGCGTCTTGCCAACGTCAACGGGTCCGCTTCCTCACTCAAGTTCACGAGATTCACGCAGCCCTGCACTGTCGCAAGGAGACACTGCACACCCGCCATTCTCCGCTCCTATCGATGTGCCGAATGCCTTCCCTCGTCCAGGCAGCCTACCGAGTCCATAGTATCGATGACTAATTCATCAGCATCAAGACCTATGCGGATCGGGAGTATCGATGGACAGAAGGTTGCATCTGCTGTTGGCTCATCGAGGGCGAATTTCACTGGCCTGCTGGACGTGCTCGCCGGCCGAAACGATCCGTGTGCAAGAAACGATTCGTCCGCCCAATTTGGCTCCGATATCGACCTGTCGTAGGCGCGCACTCTTGTGTCCTCCAGCATCGCATTAATCCTTTTCCTGCCGCAGATGGACACGAGCTGAGGATTAATAGTCTTCTCGAGCACCTCTATCTCAACAGCATCTGTGAGCTGCAGAACGCCGTGAGCTGCAGAACGCTTTCGGTCCGCATGTGCGCGAGGGTCCTGTACGGCGTCGCAACGCAGCGAGACATACATGCGTCGCCAGACACGGAAACTTTCGTCGGCCGGAAACAACGCTCATTACGCATCTTAGCTCGCATTCAGACGCGATCACAGGCTTGGCTATCGCAAACGCGCGTGGGTCGTCTGTGGGACTTTGACTGGTGTGCTGTCGCTGTGGGATATTCGCTTTGGCATTTCGATGAAGAGCTGGAAAGTAGCTGCCGCCGCTAAGAACAAGACTACGAGGATCTATCAGTGTGTCGTCCATCCAGCGAGAGGCAAGGGAAAATCGATCACAGTGGCGATGGAGACGCTCAAGTCCGCGTCTCGACAGCACACACTATTCATGGTTTGGGACATCGAACAATCTGTTCTTGTCGAGTCCTTCGTGAAGCGGAATACCGCAAATGTCTTGGAGGAAATGGAGGAGCCAAATGAGATCCCCGCCGACGAAGCCGAAACGAATCGTGCTGCAGCCATTGCGGCTCTCATGCGCTCACCGCAAGAAAGCGGTGGTTCTGGGGAATCGTTCACACGACGAGCGCGACTGTCGCGTGTGCCGGGACTCGACCAGCCTTAAACGCTATCACCAGACATACGTGCCCTAGTGGTCGGCACTGAGTTTGGTGGGCATGCTTTCACGCGTTCTGTGATTTCGGAACAGCATAGGGACAGCAGGGGAACACATTTATTAAGTGGATGCGGCTTTCTACTTACTAGCTCTGATGGCTCTGAGCATCGTCGCGTACGATGTTGGGACCTGGCTCGCGTGGAACGGTCTATGCTGTTGACCGGCCTCGAAGTCGAAACGGAGAAACTGACATACAGGTATGTACATGTTATATGATAGTCCCAGCTTAAGTGTAATATCGATTCTAGCACAATTCGTGCCACATCAGACACTGCTCTGGCACTGGTAGAGACCTGGGTCGCACCAGCGAATTCCCGGTCACAGTAATCGTTCGCCGCAGCGACCGTCCTTGATGAACCACAATCAGCAGAATTTCATCAAGGGTCATCAAGATACGAACACTGTAATAGCATGCATCGACTCACCAAGATACGATTACTGCAATAACATGCATCGACTCACCGTTCAGAGGCGGCGATATTAGTGGCGATCGAGCAGGAGTTCTCACGGTATGGCGAGTAGAAAGGATTGGGCAATTCATGGAGGACTGTTAATGGTTGGGATATTGTCTCATAAGGAGTGTTTACTTGATTATTTGCTACTTCCCCGATGAGGATGAGGCTGTCGCGCTCTGGCGTGGGTTCGATGGCACACCGGC